CATTTTTGCTACTTTGTCATGCCATTGTTTGTAATCAGTCTGTGTGACCTTCTTGCAGCAGCTAACTAGGTGATCTGCATCATCATCATCATCATCATCATCATCATCATCATTATTTTGTGCCTTCGAGTCAGTGTTGACTCCTGATGACTGCCTGGACTAGTCCCTGTAGTTTTCTTGGCAAGATTTCAAAAGTGGTTTGCCCTTGCCATCTTCCTAGGCCTGAGAGGGAGGGACTGGCCCAAGGTCACCCAGCTGGCTTTGTGCCTAAGGTGGGACTAGAACTCACATTCTCATGCTACCTTAACCACTACACCAAACTGGCTCTCTATAGTATTATACTATCAATCATATTTTGTTATTTGCCTTTGCAACAACAGGGAATGGCTCTGAAGCTATTTTCACTTGACTCTGCAATAAAATTCATTTTCCAATATCTATTTTAACCATGATTATTTCTAAATGTACATGAGTGATTTTTGAGTAGTCATACACAAGATAGCCAGTATATATATGTATATACACACAAATTCAGGTGCGCACACAGCTACTGTACATTGATATGTCAAATATATATTAAGTAACATATATAAAAAAGGAATAAAACAAATTTGAACATAAACTCACAGTATCAAAGCCTAAGAAGAATCCTTCAAGATCAGACTAAAGCAGTGTTTCTCAACCTTAGCAACTTTAACAAGCAAGCTGGCTGGGGAATTCTGGGAGTTGAAGTCCACACCTCTGTGGCTTCAACTGGAGCCACACTGGACTAAAGACTCTAGTTCAGTGTTCTGTGGCTGTAGAATGGAGACCAACTACTACATTATTTTCTCAAAAGAATTCCTTGGTCACCTTTCAGTCTTAGATTTCCAAGGCAATTTACTGTGGCAGCTTCACAGCCCAACTGTCTTATGAAAATAGGAACCTGATTAATCCTGTCAGACTGTAAAGAGCCATGGAGATGGCCTGGAAGGGAAGATTTAGAAGCAGTTACAAAAACAAGAAGGCCAGAAGCATTCCTTAAGCTCTGGGAAAATATTAGGAAGAGGCTCAGGGTGGTTCTTCCCTGATTCAGTGGGGTATAAGAGGTAGGGAAGGTAAAACACAAGTAGACTTGCAAGATTCTGTTACTATAGCCTATCTCAGTAAAGCTTAGTTCTAGTCGTCCTGTGGAGTCAATTTCCTGATCTGGTCTACTTCATAGGAATGACATCAATCTTGCAAGTCTGATTGTGCTTTTCCTGCTTCTGCCCTTGTTTGCGTAACAACTTCTGAACATGCCCTTCAGGAACATCTTCATAGCTCTGTACGAAGAGAGACTATTAGTCCTTCATGCTTCTTTCCAGCTCCAAAACAGTTCTCTTGAGAGGTGATACTTGAAACTGAATCCAGGACCTTCTGTATAAACAGTTAAGACTGTTCTGCTGGGCCTATCTCATTCTCACAGTATTTGGCATCATCTTAGATCCTGCTTTTTGTCTTGTAGAAAATTCTCACTACGAAAATTCCTCCTGCATATGTGACGACCCTGAAGGACTCCAAAAATGCTGTGGTGCTGAAAGACGCCACATTGTCTTGGGAATGTGCTTCGGGTGAACACCACACCAAAAATAGCAAGGAAACTCTTCTGAATAGGAAAAGTGACTGCAAATACCCACCGAGGGTAGATTCAGCCATTTCTCTCTCTCAGTTATCAACTGCTGGGAATGACAGCTACAGTAGCTTTATCCTGCAGAATATAAGTTTTATAGTAGAGAAAGTAAGTATATGGGAAGAATAATATTTAAACCAAAGTCAACCTGGTGCTAACTCATGTTAAGATTTAAGATTTACTCTGGGTATAAATAGCCAGCACACTGATGGGAAAGATCCCTTACTGCTTTGTATACATTATATTCAGAATAGATTTCCTTCCTAGGGCAAGGTTTTGGGGATTTGTGGAAATGTTGGAAGTGGAAAGACCTCGGTCATCACAGCAATATTAGGACAGGTACATAAATGTTTACACTTTTCTCAGTTCAGCTCTAATGTAATATTTTACAATACTTTACAACAAAATGTTTTTTTCCTAACTATGGCTATGCTGATCAAGTCCAAACTTCGACAAGTCCAAACTCGTGCTTGCCAGAGATAGGCCTATGCTGCATGAACCATACACCATTCTGCTAATACGTTGACCCTCTCAACTCATATGGTTAATGCATATCAACAGTATCTTTGTTTGCAGGAGTTTTATTATTTATTTAAATAGAGGAAGCAGATCTCAAAAATACAAATTTCCAAATCTGTATATAAATTGCATTTAGATACATTAAAATGTCCACGATGGAGCCTTGGAACATTTGGAAGAATGGCTAATCCAATGGATAGTAAATTTCTTTTGCATATAAGTGTAATAGGTCCTGATCAGACAGTGTTGACAAAGATCAGATTCCTTAAGCTTCGCTGAGAAGATGTAGGAAAGTTTGTAGAATTAAATGTTTGTTTAATTATGAATTGTGGGAGGAACTGGATTCATCTGCACTGCACAGACTAAGTCAAGGTGCAGAATATTCAGGCAATCAAATAATTCTTGGTGTATGAGACACAGTGAACTCTTCCCCAATTATGATACTAAAAATACAATAAAAATACAACATTACGTAATACCCAGAATTAGAGGCTGGAGTTGATGTCTCATTTGGCCCTGATGGGAGGGCTGGTCTTGGCATGCCTAGTTTTCTCTTCCCTTCCCTAACTTTCCATCATTTTCAAGTTCTCCATTAGAAGCAAAATATGTATCTAATAATTTGTGATTTACTATGCATGGATTAACAGATAACAGGGAAACCAAGTGAAGCAGATTTGATATCCAACCATTCCTTCTACCCACTTCAGATGTATCTGTATCATGGGACAGTCACTGTGGATGGCACTTTGGCATATGTGTCACAGCAAGCATGGATATTTCATGGAAGTGTCAGGGAAAATATACTGTTTGGAGAAGTCTATGATGAACAAAGGTAACTATAAAAATAAGTAATAAAAGAGAATAAGATTATAGCACTGGTAGGGAGGCTGCTCCGTCTTTCAGAATTATCACATTCCCTTTACTGATCCTTGGCTCTGTTTTTAAAAAAGGAATTCAGTCTTTAATCCTTTTATTTTTAGATATATAAACAAAAGGGTAAAAATTCTACTCAAATGCTAGGATGTTGTACAGTTAAATAACTGTTATCGTACTTATTTATGGAAACAACTACTTACTTCTCTTAGCATATTTATGAGAAATGCTCTGGGGACAGAAAATGAAAATAACAAAATGAAATTTTCAAAACTGTAAATCAAATAAAAAACACATTAAATCAAAACATAACTCTGCAATGTGAAATGCAATGGTGGCATAAAATATCAGCTACTTTAAGGTTTTCAGATTCTGACATTGCAGGAAGAGTTCTGCAGGCAAGGTGTCATAAACCAAAGACCATTTCTGTAGCCATCTTACCTGAGTGAGTGATGGGAACTGAAGTAAGGCTTCAGAAGTTGCCTGAATGTTTGAAGAAGTTCATTTGAGGACAGAGAGCATCAGGCCTTCTCCATTTATATTGTGGTTCTTCCAAAAGCCTATAGCAAAGTAACATTGCATCTAGAAGGTCCTAGATCAATTCCTAGCGTCTCCTGGCAGGGCTGGAAGAATCCAGGCCTGAAACTTGGAGAGCCAGTGTGGATCAGCACAAACAGTACTGGATGATCTTATCTGACTGAACAGCTTCCAAACTGATGTTGTAGCTTCATGGAAGCAATGCAGGGGTACTCCCATTTACAGTTGCATGAGATGCATACTCTCTAAAATGACTCTGTCTGGCAAAGTTGAGGGAAAATGAAGAATATGAATCTATCTATCTATCATCTGTCTATCTATCTGTCTACAGCTACTGGCCTGGAAGAAATGTGTAGGTTGTGCTGGGAAATAGGTCAAAAAGGAACTTCATTCTTTTCCTTTATAATTTATTCAGTACTTAGTTATTAGTTGAAAGAATCTTGGGAGGGAGGAAATTTGCTTGGAGAACACATTTCTAATGCTTCTTAATGGCGGCCTTCTCAAGTGGTGTTTTTTATCTCTGGAGAGCCAGTCTACAGTCCTTGTGTCCCAATTATTGCTTTCTTTCAGCTTCCTATAGCTAAGGCACATGAATGAAGCCCTGCTTTGGTAAACAGGAAGCTGTCTTACAGTGGATTGCTTCACTGGTTTGTTTAGTGGGACCACAACCCCATCATTTCCAAATAGCCAGTGGCATATATTGGGAATTATAGCTCAGTGTAATGGATTGGGGAAGATGGATATTGCCCAATATTCTCAGTAGTTACTGGCAAATGGCAGCTTCTATCCATTTCTCCTAGACTGAAAGGGCTATATAAGTCCTTCTCTTTAGAAGAAGTCCTTTCCAGAACAAATTTAACCTTCCTGGTGTTGAAGTGATTCTCATCTCTAATTCTCTAGGCTGAGCTTTCTTGAGTGACTCAGCTACTGATTCACTTCAGTTACCTATAGCTCCTCCATGACAGACCCTACGTTAAGAGAAAACAGTTGCTGGGTCTTCATTCTGCGAAAATTAAGGTCGACCTTAGCCTTTCAGTAGCATGTCAGAGGCTGCACTCCAACAAAGAGGTGGTGCCAAGACAAAAGAATTGAAATGAATTGAAATGTAGTTGAAATTTTAGTAAGATCAAGCTAATTAAATACAGTTAATCTAAATACTCCTCATATATTTAGTGCTTTTTTAAAATGTGTCAAATCAAAAATTACAATTGGTTTGGCCACTTTTGAAGGTCTTTGGGGGCTTCACCCAAGGATTCTGAGGGCCACAGGTAGCTCAGGGGCCTCAGTTGCATAGTCTGCATTATAATAATGCAGGAAAGGCAGGAAATGTCTTAGCCTCTCATCTTCTCTAGAGTTTATATATTCCCCAGCAAGTCCTTTGCTTTTAATGAAACCAAGGAAGCTGCTTTTTCTTATTAGTTTACTGAATATTATACTCTACCAGTGTACTCAGCTGTGAGAGTAAATGGTTGCTAAATATCACTTCTGTCATTTCCTCAAATTATATCAGAGTGGATCAGAGAGAGAGAGAGAAGGAAAGAAA